GAGGGTGGAGACCTGCAGAGAGTCTGGGTTTGGCTCTTGGGGAAGGAAAGTGGGAGAAGAAGGCCAGGAAAGTGACAGCCACATCTGGTGACAGAGCTCTGTGACAACAGGTCCTCTGAGCGCCCCACGTCCTCTGAGCGCCCCACATGCTGTGGGGACTCGGGCCCCTGAGAGGCACATTTCCAGCTGTTGGTCATCAGCCAGGAAAATGGCGTCTTCTCGTTTATTATTCAACATATTTATTGGATTATCTATGTATTTACTTTGCAGTGTCGAAGATGGATCTGGGGCTTCTACCCTTCAGCTACAGCCCCAGTCCTATGGAGTTAGTTAGTTAGTTAGTTAGTTAGTTAGTTAGTTAGTTAGTTGCTGTTTTTTGAGGAAAAGTCTCACATAGCCCAGGCTGTCCTTGAACTCTCTATGTACCCAAGGATGACCCTGAGCTCCAGATCCTATTGTCTCTGTTGGTTTTAAATATGGCACTTTAACTCTGTGAGGATAGGTCACAAGTCACAACAAAACCCAGTATCAGAGCTTTATTGGGGGGAGACAAAAGAGAGTGACCAGGCCTGTGAAAGACACGTGCTGGGGGAGGCAAGAGAAGAGAGGGGAGGAGTCTGTGACTGACTTTTTAAGGATTCCCCTGCACATGCGCATGTGAGCTTACAGAGCTACACCATGCATGCGTAGATTGTATAATATGCAGCACACAAATGATGCAAGACATAAGGCCCCTTACTTAGTTACTGAACTGCGCATGTGTGGTCATGCAGCTGGAGGAGCGGCAGAATTCTAACATTCCAGGCTTTTTGCTTATTATAAAAAAGGTAGGTGAATAGGAATAGGGACGACGTTTCTCCAGAAAAACTGCTTCCAGCTGAGTTGGTGGGCGTCGGTTGACTCTTGGGGTGGGGGGGGCAGGGAAGGGGGCTTCTGAGGTAGACAGGTGTCCTGGGATGGTGGGCTGTTGTCTGCTGCCTTGGACCTGTCCATCGTCCCTCTCAGCCCGGACTCTGGCGGCTTTGCCTGAGAGGATGCTGGTGAGACAGAGAAAAGCTTAGAAAAAAGAATCATTATTTTTATTTTTTCCTTTTGGGGGGCTCCCCAGGGTGAGAGAGGGGATCCCGGAACCAGGAAAGTTTGGGTTGCACCTATCCGAAGCACATCTGACTTGACCAGATGGATTCAAGCTGGTTCCAGAGCTTGCTGACCTGTCCAGGTGGATTTTCTGGAGCTTGGAAAAAATTTTAAACAAATTAAAAAGCAGCCATGGGATATTTAAAATCTTGAGCTGGTGACCATATTATTGTAATGTTTTAGTACTCTGCTGCATTGGTTAGGGTTGGGGGGGAGGATATTTGGAACATGCTTTTAATTTTTACCTGAGATAAGCCTTATCAGAGACAGATTATTTTAAGGCACCTGTTTCCTTTTTTAGTTTAGCATCCATGAGACACAGGCGATCAATTGCTGAGAGCATTTAACAGTAATAGATGGTTATATTAAAGTCTGTTTTTGCAGGGCCCAGACACTTTTGGGTCTGGGGGTGTAAATACCTTTGGACTGTTACTGTTCCTTACCTCCTGGGTATATCTGATGGTCCTTGGACTCCAGCTCTATGGTGATCCTGTAACAATTGGCTGAGTAGTTCATTAGAAGAGGGAACCAGGAAGGGAAAAGCTTGTGGGGTGAGACCTCATTCTTCTGGAATTGGTGACAAGGCAGTAGATCCTGGTGTCCTCGGGAACTTGAGAGAGAGCAGGGCCCTGTCTGTGTCCCTGTGCATGAGGAGAAGAGGCACTGCTGACCGGGCTGGAGTGAGGCACATGGAGTGAGCAAATGAAATGAGAGCTCCTACCTTAGCTGGAAACTCTCTTCCCATTAACTAACCCTGAAAGGACAATTAAGTCTGGGGAGGTGGGTAAGGCTGTCCCCCTACCCCAACAATAGGGAAACAAAAAGAGGTGGGACCCCAAAATTCCCTCAAGACTGAGTAAGTGGCTCAGTGTCCAACAGAAAGGAAACAGATCGCCCCATGCTGCATCCTGGGTTCCCTGTGAGCCCGTGGCCAAGCCTAGGAGGTCTGCTGGAGGTCTTTAATGTCCCCATGCCACCGGGTGCATGAGGGCAGTCAGCTGACCAGTTATCCCTCTGGGTGGCACTTTGAACAAGGCTCAGTTGATGGCCTGAGGAGGGGCAGGGCACGCACTAGCCTGTGTGGCCTTCTCTAGCACACATTTGAAACAGGGACTTGGAAGCCCTTATGCAGTAGCCACTTGGATAGTGTGTGCCAGCATTTGGAAATTCTGTTCATGGGCTTTCTCGTCTCTCCCATGGTACCTTAAATGCCACAGCTGAAACTTCCACCTGAGGGGGCAGGAGCCTTTCTCTCCAGATGTTTAAGCTTAGCCCTGATGTTGGGAATCTCTGGGAGACAAGAGATGGATTTTATCCCGTATCTTGAATTACTTTTTTTTTTCTTTGATAGTTTGCTTGTGTGAGGACAGCTTTAGGAAGACCCACCAGGAGGCAGGGTGTGAACTGATCTCTGGCTAGAGAGCCATCTGGATTATTATGATCCCAATGTGGGTCCTGATCATAAACTTATTTGCATGCGTCCTAGCCTGCTTCCAGACCTGTCTGTGCTTCTCAGGGCAGCTGAGAACGGGTGACAGTGAGAGTGAATGTGGGAGCCAGAGTCGGGCAGGAGCGGCCCCCCAATACCAGGGAGCAGAGCAGAGGTCAGACAGGCAGAGCTTCTTTGGAGTCAGAGACTCCCCAGGTTCAGGTTGACTGTGGGCAGGAGAGAAAGACTCAGAAAGGGGGGGGGGGGCTCAGAGCTTAGGTAAAAGTGTGGGGATGAGGTAACTCTTTTCATTTTCCCGTTCGCTGTCAGAAGTTAGATAATTCCTGTGAAATATGGGGGTTCAAGCAGCCGTTACGTGGCCATATTTACATAAAATAGGGATACTTAAGACATTTCTCAGAGGAGGAGAGAGACCAACAGGAGGAAGCCTCCATGTCCCATGACTGCAGCCGAGAGAAAAAAATAAAAAATTAAAATAACAAGTGGGATCCAAGACTCCCATCTCGGGTGTCCCCAAGAGTAGGTAATCTGTGGACTGGCATAAATTATCAACACAAATTACCCCACCCTTCATCAAGGGAGGGGTAGGGGTGGGAGCAGATGTACCAGAAGACCCCCTCCCCCAGAGTCCAGACGGCATTCAATGCTTCATCAGGAGAAAACAAGTTGTGGTACACAGCCTGAGGACCCCCAGGAGTACAGCGTGAGAAATATATCTCAGGCTACAGTCATTGGAAATGGAGAGGGATTGGAAAGGGAAAACTCTCCAGTCTGGGCAGCCGGTGTGTTACGTGTAGCAGTCCTTGTGACTGGGCAAATGAAAAAAGCGGGCAGTCATAGATTCAAGAAACCTCGGTACAGGGTCCCGGATGCCGAGCGCTGGGAGAGCCTGCTTCGTCACGGCACCAATGTTGGTTTTAAATGCTGCACTTTTACTCTGTGAGGCAAGGTCATGAGAGAGTGACCAGGCCTGTAAAAGACATGTTGGGGGGGGGGGGGGGGCAGAAGAGAGGGGAGGAGTTTGTGACCGGGTTTTTAAGGATTCTCCTGCACATGCCCAGGTGGGCTTACAGAGCTACACCACACATGTGCTGACTGCGTGGTTATGCAGCGCACTGATGTCGTAAGATGTAAGACCCCTCGCTTAGCTACTGAACTGGCATGTGCGGTCATACAGCTGAAGGAGTGGCAGAATTCTAAGTCTCCACCTCTTGAATTCTAGGATTATAGGTGTGCACAACCACACCCACCCATTTAAATGGTGCTAGGTAGGGATCCAGCCCAGGGCTTTAGACAAAGCTCCATCCTCAGCCTTAGATTTGATCTTTTACAAATCCAAACCCAATTGCGCAGTGCCCTGAAGTGCATCCACACTGAGAATGGCTAGGTCAAGCTAGTGCTGAGTGAGTGGAGGGAACACAGGCTGAGCTTGCAATAGTTCTGGACCCAGAGATTTCAGAAGATCAAAGAGCAGGCAGAGCAGGCCGAGCCCCCCAGACTGTGTTAGCAGAAGCCTACTTCCCCCTCAGGTGGGCCCCCTGGAGGAGGCTGGAGCCCGGCAGGTCACCTAGGCAGGGTCAGAGTTGCCAGATGCACCCTGTGTCAGAACCTGTCCCCACAGAGTACAGAAACACACACGTTCGTTCCCTATCTTTCCTGTCTGTCCCCTAGTGCCTCCTGGTGGCCATTTGAGGGTCCTAGACAACCTCAGAGCAAGCTTGCCAGAGAAGAGCAAGAGTCTGGGGGCCTTGGCTCACCCAGGGACAGCTCATCTTGAGGTGCTGGCCCAGGGGGTAGATGGGCCTGGTTCCCACCCTCTTCCTTTGTGCTATAAAGATAATATAGAATAAGAACTGTTTGTGATGACAGAAATCCACTCAAGCCAGGCTTATCATCAAAGTCGAGATGTAATAAAAACTCTGTCTTCAAGGAGGCACAGGCTGCACCGTGGTGGGGTGGGGTGGATCCCTCTAGGACCTCTGCACCTCCCCTCCCCAGGCACCCCGATAAGGTGCCTGTTCTGACCCAATCAATCAAGATCAGGGGTGGGATCATGCTAGCACTGCTGGTGGGTGGGGCCCACAGGGATTCCTGAGCTGGGCAGAACTTCAGAAAATCTGGAAAGTGTGAGGATGCTGCTAGGTTTGAATGATAAGGAAACATCTGACTTTTCTTCTCAGATGTGCTTACCTGCAGCTGTCTCTCTCCCATTTTCCAGATCATTCTATAGATGCAATTTTCCATCTGGTTTTCATGGGTCATCTGTTTTCCCATCTCATAGAAAAATCTAACTTTAGTTATTCCTGGTGTGTGTGTGTGTGTGTGTGTGTGTGTGTGTGTGTGTGTGTGTATGTGTGTAGACCAGAGGACAACAATGTTCAAGGCACTGTCTCTTTTTTTTTGTTGTTGTTATAGGTTAGTTGGTCAGCAGGCCGCAGGGACCCTCCTGCCTCTACCTCCCCAGGTCTGGGATTACAAGGTATGACTATACCCAGGTTTTTTGATTGTTTGGTTAGTTGGTTGGCTGGCTGGTTGGCTTGGGTTCTGTTTTATTTATGTGTTTTGCCTCTTGTCTGTGTGTGTATTGTGTGCATGCCTGGTGCCCTTGGAAGACAGAAGAGGGTGTCAGGTCACCATGGACTTACAGGGAGCTGTAGCCACCTGATGTGGGTGCCAGGAACCAAACCCGGTCCTCTGCAGGAGCAGCCAGAGCTCTTAACCGCTGGGCCATCTCTCCAGCCCCAGCATTTATTTTTGTTTTGTTTGGTGTGTGTATACACACACACACTTGCTTCCTTCTTTTTTTTTTTCCTTCCTTCCTTCCTTCCTTCCTTTTTTGTTTTTGTTTTTTTGAGACAGGATTTCTCTGCATAGCCCGGCTGTCCTGGAACTCACTTTGTAAACCAGGTTGGCCTTGAACTCACAGAACTCCACCTGTCTCAGCCTCCCGAGTGCTGAAATTAAAGGTGTGTGTCACCACCTGGTCCCGGCATTGTTTTTAATGTGGGTTCTGGGCACAGAACTCAGGTCTTCACACTTTCAGGGCAAGTGAGTTGCCCACTGAGCCATCTCCCCCTGCCCCGCTCTTATTTTTCACGGAAAACCCTGGGGCAGCAAAGCCGCTGTGCTGTGCTTCCTGAAGAAGACATCCCGGAGTTGAACGCAGCCACCTCCCTGTCTGAGGCAAATGCTGTTCTCCTCCTCTCTAGACAACAGAGGCTGGGGTCCCCCTAAATGGTTGTTCGCTAGAAGGAGAGCCCAAGTTTAGGGTTTCAGGAGCAAGCAGCGGGTGACCACAGCTGGTTACTCCAGTCTGGGTTTCTCTTGGCAGTTCAAGGCCCGTCCATCTCAGTGAGGAAGGCAGAAGGGCCACAGGGCTGAAGCAGCTGCTCACATCACATCTGCAGTCAGGAGTAGAGGGTGACAGCTGCGAGCCACTTCTCAGCTCCCTTCTCCACTCACACAGTCCAGGGTCCCAGCCAGGGAATGGTGCCACCCACAGTGGGCAGGGCTTTCTATCTCAGTTAATGTAATCCAGAAAACTCCCCACAGCCACGCCTGGAGGCCCGGCCCCCAGGTGAGTATAGATGCCCCTCGCGCTGACTCTAACCATCACACACCTCCCACCAGTGCCTGACTTCACAGACACAGACCAAAGGTATCTTTATTTTGCCTTTTTGTGCATGTATTTATTTTCTGATTGATTAATTATCTAATTCATTTTTATTCCAGGCTCCAGCATTTCATACTGTGAAGTCTTAGAAAGGCTGGCAGGCTTAACTAAGGACCTTGCCTCTGTTGAGAGAAATGGAGTTTTTGTTATACATCAATGAGCCGTGTGTCACATGCCAAGCTTTCATGGCGGACACACTTGTGACACAGGAGCAGGAAGAGCTGGAGTCCAAGGCCAGCTCTAACACTGAGCTCAATGCTCAGCCAGGATGGTTCTGTTTTCCTCCCATTTTTTGTTTGTTTGTTTGTTTGGTTGGTTGGTTGGTTGTTTGGTTGGTTGGTTTTGTTTTTTCAAGACAGAGTTTCTCTGTGTAGCCCTGGCTGTCCTGGAACTCACTCTGTAGACCAGGCTGGCCTCAAACTCACAGAGATCCGCCTGCCTCTGCCTCCTGAGTGTTGGGATTAAAAGCATCACTACCAGCTGGCTTCCCCCCAGTTTTTATTGTATGATTTCTTTCAAAACAGAAAAGCTGAAAGAACTGTGCGCTGAATTCCACCATCCCCTCCACCTGGAGTGCCTGGTGAGTGCAACACTGGAGTGGGGGGGCAGACAACGAGGATTTGGGGAGAGGGCTCAGTGGGCAAAGTGTCTGCTAAGCAAGCGCAGGACTTGAGTTTACACCCCCAGACCCCATAGTTAACCAGCCGGGTGTGGTGGAGTGCAGTTACAGTCCCTCTACTGGAGAGGAGTGAACCCCTGGTGATCGCCGACCAGCCAGCCTAACCAGCAAACTCCAGACCAAGAGAGACCCTGCCTCAAAACCGAAAGTGGGCGCCAGAGCTGCTTCAGTGGTTAAGAGCACTCGTTGCTCCTGTAGAAGATCTGGGTTCGACTCCCAGCAGCCACATAGCAGCTCACAATCATTGTAACTCCAGTCCCAGAGGATCCAACGCCTTCTTCTAACCTCCTCAGGCACCAGCTGTGCATGGGATGCACACACATATGGATAGTCAAAATATAAAATAAATGATTTTTGAAAATGTTAGTGTGGAGTTCGGGTGTCGGGGCAGGAGAGACGGCTCAGCAGTTAACAGCCCTTCAGGGGCTCACAACCGCCACTGACTCCAAGTCCAGGGGATCTGACACCCTCTTCTGGCCACCAAGGGAAGCAGGCACCCGCGTAGTGTGTTACACACACACCCAGGCACACACATACGCATAAAATTAATAAATAATTTTTAAGGGTGGATGGTGGGTGGCTTCTGAAGAGTAACATCCAAAGGTTAACCTCCAGCCTCCACGTGTACACACGTTCCTGCACACTCATAGACACACACTAAAAATACGTCCCACTGTGCATGGTCTCTCTCTCTCTCCCTTCTCCCAGTCTGTCCCTTCCCCTTATGCCCTTTCACTATATAATTTTTATTTAATTTTCTTCCGGAGTCAAGTGTGAGTTAGAGGTGAACAGCTGGACCTTCCACCTCACGTTCCTTCTTCTCTCCCACAGGGATCAGGGCATTCATGGGCTGCCATCATTCCTAACCCACCTGAATGCCGTGACTCTATGCAGCGTTTTCAAGGGGCCAAGCCATGCTTCTAGATTAGTCATCACTGATAAGCCACTGCAAGAAATAAGTGATGTTTGTAAAAAGAAACCATCAGAGTTCATGGACCACCGTGGGAGCCCAGCAAAGACCCACACCTCACCTCAATGTAATGCGCTGGGGTTCCCAGGAGCGTTCCTGGCAAAGTCATGCAGGGACCGTCAGACCATGGGCAGCTTGGAGAGGTTCCCCAGCTCTCAGCACAGACACTGAAGACCCAAAGGCAGAGTGCAGGATGCTGGACAGCCTCTTCCACCATCCAGTCATGACTCCAGGGAGGGGATCAGTGCCAGCCACAGCCACTCAGCCATGACATGGTAGGCAGAGCCCGGCTCCTGGCCGGGTCCCTCCTCTTACCAGGACAAGAGTAGGATTTTTTTAAATTGTTTTCAAAACAGATTTCATGTGGTCCCAAAATGAGACCATGATTGTAAATTAAAGTGTAATTAGCCTTTCTGCTTTTATATTCATTAACTCTTCCCTGTTAATGATGCAAGGCTGGAGCGGAACCCCCGCATTATAAAAACCACATCCAGGAAATAAAATAGTGATTTAGATAATAGCCACAATGTATTGCTGCTTACACATAATTAAACAAATGCGCCATTTAAACTTGGAAACATGACTGAATGTTGATTAACCTCGCCCGGCGATTCTGCTCGGCCCGGGGAAAGGGAGATGTCTGGAGTGGGGCTGGGACAGTGTCTGGGCCTGCCACATCCACTGGACACAGGAGGGTAGGGCCATGCGGTCCTGGGAGCAATGACCACAGAGCGGCCCTCAGACCATTTGGGGAAGAGCCACATTAATTAAACAAGCCAGACACCCAAGGATCAGACTGTCATTTTTGGGTCCAATTGTGTGGGATTCTAGAGTGAAATTGTGGACTGACAAGGGGGACCACCAGGGGCTGGCAGACAAGGGACTTGGGGGATGGATATTTAAATTTTTGTTATATACCTTTATTTATTTATATTGGGGATTGGGTGTGCACATGCCATGGCCTGTGTGGAGGTCAGAGGGCAACTTAAGTGAATCAGTTCTCTCCTTCCATCGTGTGTGTCTCAGGGATCAAACTCAGGTCGTCAGGTTGGTGACAAGTGCCTTTACCCACCGGACCATCTCAAAGGCCCAGGAGGAATGTTTGGTGGGGACGGAGTTCCAGCCGAAGTAACAGTTTTGGAGATTTGGTGACTTTCATAAACACCGAGAGCCGCTGAACCGTGCACGCGAAACAGGGACATTTACATATCACAGTCTTTAACTGCTTATTTAAGACATTAAAAATACTGTTGCTAGTGGCTGGAAAGATGACTCGGTAGCTAAGAACACTGGCTGCTCTGCCAGACAACCTGGGTTCAATCCCAGCACCCACAGAGCAGCTCACAGCTGTCTGTAACTCCAGTTCCAGGGCATCTGACGGCCTCTTCTGGCCTCCACAGGCACCAGGCATGCACGTGGTACACACACATACACACTGGCAAATACATACCCATGCACATGAAACACAACAGAAAAATTAAAAAGCAATAAATACCATTGCTGGGCAGGCAAGAGGGCTCTGAGGTAAGGTGCTTGCAGGCAAACCTGGCGACCTGGGTTCGACTCCAGGACCCGCACGGTGGGAGGAAAGAAACCACTGTGCAGCTGCCCTCTGCCCTCGGCACCCGCACCAACAGTTACTAGTTTCCGGTCTGGCTGCTCACTGGATGCAAGAAGCCAGAAGTTCACTTTCTCCCCAGAATCTGCTTCCTGGGGTCCATCTTGGGTCTTCTGAGGCCTGATCATGGCTTTATGGAAATGGTGTCTTTTGTGGTTTTAGGTGTTACTATGAAGAGAGAAGTGTAAACAGAGAAGCTTCTGGTTCGGGAACCCTGAGTGTTTTTCTGTGTTATAATTTTCTTCTTGCCTGGGTCCCCAGAAGCAGATGTAGTGGCCGATTTGGAAGGTGGTTCCAGGAAAACCAGCAGTGACGGTGCCACAGGAAGGGACGCAGCGGAGAGCAGTCGCGACTGTGGGAGAAACGTCTGCTCTGCGAGTGTGAGAACTGAGTTTGACCCCCAACACCCATGCGAGAAACCAGGCACGCTGACACCCACCTGAAATCTCAGTGCTGGGCACAGGAGCCCTTGGAACTCACTGGCCAGCCCTTGATGCCAGTCATAGACCCTGTCTCAAAACGCAAATGGGCCCACGGGACGGCTCAGCAGAAGCAGGTGCTTACAGCCAAGTCTGATGACATAAGTCCAAACCCTGGGACCCATGTAGTAGAAGGCTACAACCAACTCCAAAGTTGTCCTCTGATCTCCACACATGCAGACGTGTGTGTGTGTTCATATACCCACACAAAAAATAAATGCTGTGATATAACACTTTTAAAAAATTACATGGTGAAACTGGAGAGATGACTCAGTGGTTAAGAGCACTGGCTGCTCTTGCAGAGGACTTGGGTTCAGTTCCCAGCACCCACATGGAGGCTCACAACAGTCTGTAACTCCGATTCCAGGAAATCCAGTGTCCTCTTCTGGCCTCTACAGGCACCAGGCATGCACATGGTGCAGAGACATACATACAAGTAAAACAATCATACACATAAAACAAACTAAATAAACCTTTTAAAACTGTTAGGGGCTGGCTGGGCGGTGGTGGCGCACGCCTTTAATCCCAGCACTCAGGAGGCAGAGGCAGGCGGATCTCTGCGAGTTTGAGGCCAGGCTAGTCTACAGAGTGAGTTCCAGGATAGGCACACAGAGAGACCATATCTCGAAAACAAACAAACAAAAAAACAAAAAGGTAGGGGCTGGAGAGATGGCTCAGCAGTTAAGAGCACCGACTGCCCTTACAGAGGTCCTGAGTTCAATTCCCAGCAACCACATGGTGGCTCACAACCATCTGTAGTGAGATCTGGTGCCCTCCTGGCGTGCAAGCATACACTGTATACATAATAAATAAAGTCTTTTTTTTTTTTTTTTTTTTTTTTGGTTTTTCGAGACAGGGTTTCTCTGTGTAGCTTTGCGCCTTTCCTGGAACTCACTTGGTAGCACAAGCTGGCCTTGAACTCACAGAGATCCGCCTGGCTCTGCCTCCCGAGAGCTGGGATTAAAGGCCACCACCGCCTGGCAAATAAAATCTTTTAAAAAAATGTTGGCTAGCACCTGAGAACATCAGACATCAAGTATGTGCTCTGGCCTCCCATGCTCATGTGTACATACATGCACATGCACCTGTCACACATACACACACCTGCATACACACACACACACACACACACACACACACACACACACACACACGTCTCTTCACTAGTTACGAAGGTCAACCAGGTTCAAGAGGAAAGGGATGTCAATAGCCTACTGTGCCAAGAGGAGACATTCTGCCCCGGCCATCAAGGCACTCTGGGGACAGCTGGAGCGTGAAACCGCAGGCTGGCTCACCACAGCTGCGGAGGCCATGCTGCCAGTTTGGCTGAGAGCCTTACTGGTCGAATGGGCCTCCAGCTTCCTGCACTTTCAGTCAGCAGGGCACACACTGAGAGGAGGCCATGCTGCCAAAGACAGCTGTCAGGCAAGGTGGTGGCAGCTGAGGCTGGGTGTCACCATGTCAGGCCAGAGGGGCGACGGCGGGGCACTGACAGCTTCCCGTGTGAAGAAGCTATTTGTTGGCCAGAGAATGTGGCCACTGAGATTGACAACTCAAATGTCACTGATCAATGTCCCCACCACCACCACCCCTGTGCCAGGCACATGTTGGGGTCCTTCCCCTCCACCCCTGTGCCAGACACAGCCCAGGATTCAGCATTGGGCAAAGACCAACCAACCAGGACAGAGTGAGACACATGAACATGTCTGCCGAAAACAAAACCCACCTCAGGCTGCATCCCTGCCCATGCTCATCACTGCTGCATGGATGTGACCAAACACCTGACAGAAACAACTTCAGGAAGTGCACTAGTTACTTTCTGTTGCTGATAAAAACAAAAACAAAACACAATGCCATGACCAAGGCAACCTAGAAGAAAGAGTTTATTCCGGCTTTTGGTTGCAGAGGGCTGGAGACCATTGTGGTGGGGGCAGCGGGTGGCAGGGACAGGAAGCTAAGAGCTCACATCTTTGTTTTGAAAGCCCTGGCTGTCCTGAACTCTCTAAGCAGGCTAGGCTGGCCTCAGACTCAGAGACCCACCTGCCTCTTTCTGCCTCCCAAGAGTGGGGATAAGGTGTGTGCCATCACGCCCAGCAGAGAGCATGTAGCTATGCAGGCAAAGATGGCCTGAATTTTGTTAATTAAAAAAAAAACATCATTGCATGTGTAGGGATGTTTTGCCTGCATATGTCTGTGCACCATGTCCATACCTGGTAGAGAGGGAGGCCAGAAGGGAGTTCAGATCCCACGGAAATGGGGTTACAGGTGGGGATGAGGTATCCGTATGGATACTAGAAATTGAATCAAGGTCCTCTGCAAGGGCAGCCGGGCTCTTCACTGCTGAGTCAGCTCCCCAGAACCCCACCTTATTTTTTGAGACAAGGTTGGGCTAGGCTGGCTGGCAGTGAGCTCCGGGATCCACTTGTGTCCACTCCCACAGCGCAGGAAGCACAGACTCGGGCTGCTGGGTCCGGCCTTTATGCACATGCTGGGCTCCGAACTCTGATCTTCCTGTTTGCTCAGGTGCCAGCTGAGTCACTCCGGAGCCAGGAGAGCTGTCACTCCAGAGCCAGGAGAGCTGTCACTCC